TACCCAGATCTAATCTGAATTTTGATAGGGTCCGAAATTCAAGTTTCAGATCCAAACCAAAAAAATTCTCAACCCTACCCCAGTACATTACACATCCATCTAAAAAAGGAAATATATACAATGAGACTATTAATCTTTGGTACAAGATGGTCATAGTTAATTTTGACCATTGGATGTGAAATTAGATGCCTACATTTATTCTATCGACCAAGCTCATACTTCAAAAGAAATTTTCTTGAATTTTCGGACACACCCAAGCTATTAGATTTCGCCTTAGATGGTTGTAAGTAATTGTGACATATTTGCATCAAAAGTAAATGGTCTCATTGTATACATTCCTTCTACAAAATAGATGTGAAGTAATGATCTCTCCAAAATAAGGTAAAAATCAATTGTTTAAAAGTTTTATTATTTAAATTTTAAAATCATTTTTTCTTTTTACACATTCATGATCTCCAAAGATTATATATACCTAAAAACTTAGGTCCGGGATCCATATCAAAAATGCATCACGAATATAGAACACAAATCTACATGTGAGTCATAAGACTAATAATATTAGTGTCTAAGATAATTGTTTTTACCTAAGATAAAGCTTTACCCTATATTATTGGGAATCATATATACACATGTGTCTCTAAAGTTGGGATTCAGACCGTAAATCTCTCCCTCCATAATTGAAGCATTTCCAAGCGTATGGTTCGCCATGATGGAATCTCTGTCAATAATAAAAAGTCATTTGGTGCCCCATTTTAAAATGTAGCCTATATCCATATGCAAGCATTTATCTGCACATGCTATTAAATGTATGTGTGAGAATAGGTCACATCATCCTATATAGTCTCTGACATCATCCTTGTACTTTGTTAATGCAAAAGTATCTTGCTCACACCCTTCCAATAGTTTAGATCTTATAGGACTATATCTAACGGCCAAAAATTAGCCTCGTATTTTTTAAAAAATATAATGTGTATCTGAATTTTGTGGTGTTGGTGTATTTCTATAAATATAGCTAAATAAAAATTATTAAAAAAATATTTCAAATAATAAAAGGCCAAAATATTTTTAAATTTATTTTGGTCAATATTATTTAGAAAAAATTACGTATGTATCCATTATAGTTTGCATTATTACAAAACTATCCATAGTTTATGGTATTACCTAAATATGTCTGTTTTTTCATGGCATAACGAAAATTCAAAAAAAAATAAAAAAATTGTACCCTTTTTTGGTTGTTGAACAATTAAATTGAATGGATTTTCGGTTATTCAACAACTGAAATCAGGCCATGGTGGTTGAAGAACCAAAAATTTTAAAATTTCTATTGATTGGATATTTTTTTCCTCATATTCTCTCTCTATCCACTAATCTAAGTTGTTTTAAATTCAAATTTTGAACAACCAAATTCTCTCTCTATGTTTTTTACCCGTCTTTTCCCTTTAAATTCTTCTCTATCTTTATCCATTCTCTCTCATATTCTCTCCCCCTATGTTTATTCATTTACCCATCTTTTTCCTTTAAACTCTTCTTTGTGTTTATCCATTTTTTCTCCTATGTTTATCCATTCTCTCCCCCTATGTTTATCTATTACATTGGATGGGATTAAACTCTTCTTTATATTTATCCATTCAATTTCGGTTTTTCAAAAATTGAAATTGGTCTGAATTCGGTTTATCCATTCAATTTTCGATTTTTAAAAAACTAAAATTGGTTTGAATTCGATTTATCCATTCAATTTTCCGTTTTTCAAAACAAAAATTGGTCCGATTTCGGTGGTTGAACAACCCAAAATCCATAGAGAGAGAATACGCAAAGGACCTATGACAGAGAAAAAAATTTGGTTGTTGAAGATCCAAAAATTTAAAATTTTCGGTTCTTCAACAACAAGAAATTTTGAAATTTCAGTTTTCCAGAAACCGAAATTGGCCCGACTTCTATTGTTGAACAACCGAAAATCCATTAAATTCATTGTTCAACAAACAGAAAAAGGTAAAATTGTCTTTTTTAGCAAAATTTCATGACATGAAAAAATGGATAGATAGGTAATAACGGAAACTATCTAGTAGTTTCGTAATAACACAAACTACAACGGATATATACGTAATTTTCCCTACTATTTATTTAAAATATTTTTTATTAATTTTATTCAATCTTGCTTATAAAAATGAACCTAAGGCCAAAATTTCATATTACAATCATTTTTAAATAAAACATAAAAAATAAAAAAAATAAATTTATTTTTGGCCCTTCAAGAAGAGTTTGAATCATGAAAAGGTACTTTTGAATTGTGGTGAGTCAAGCCAAGGCACCTCCTATTCCCTGGAAAATTTAAGGTCTATTTTCTTTTCCATATTTAACTTTAAGGGTGTGTATGATAATGCAGAATTTGGACTATGAAAGCCAAAATTCAATTAACACTGTAGCACTTCCACATTTGATAGCATTTAGAAGGAGAGAAAAGGAAGTGCCGGGCTGAAACTTCCCATTTCGAGGAAAAAGGAGGCCCCCGTTGAAGAGGCAAATTTGGAAGTCAATTCCATTTGTTGGACTATGGTGTCATTTTGCACTTATTGGTGCTTTTTCATTTAAAATTTTTAAATAAGTTTGAACTGAAATTTGAAGATTTGTGAGTCTCACTGCAGTGCATATGTGAAACTATATGTAAAAAAATTGATGAATATGTATGATAAAAAAACAACCCTCAAAGTTTTGGAGGTCTTTTTGAAAAGTTCATTTTACATTTTTTAAGCTATGTCAGTAGATGTATGGGCGCCCTAAAGTTTAGCATATTCCCATGTAAATCATACATAGCAGCATCTCTAAGGTGGGACTGTCAATATGAGCAATACAAGTATTGAAAACTGTTGAATATCAATATTTGGCATGCCCTACCATAGCTGCCTGCACAAATTAGAGAGGAAAAAACAATTGCAAATATTTAACAATGGCTGGATGATAAAATATTCCACTGTGAGATGGATGAGAGGACAAGAGAATTAAAAGAATTGTATGAGAGTCAGACAATTTGTAATGAAGCCTTCAAAATTAGGTGATCGGTCAATTTGAGGTTTAAATTGGGGAACTCTATGATGAATATTGAAATGATATATAGAGTACAATTAATCAGTTACCATTTATAAAGATGCTTGTAGATGATGAACAGATGAACAAGAAGCCTCGTTGTTTCTTAGATTGTTGCCAAACATTTGGAAAATAACGGATTTACTCCCTGAGCAATTCAGCATCCGAAGTAAAAGAGACCAAGAATTAAGTAAACAAATGAGGTAAATGTCATTGTGTTCCTCTGGACGATAATCTTTAGTTGCAACGAGCAGTGGGAGAAGTAAAATAACGATCAACAGATTCATCATAACTCAAGAGGCAGATTCAAGTCAAAGAAAGGATCATCTGTTATCATTATGATATGGGCGAGACTACATAGATAATTGTATAAAGCACAAGCAAAATCAAGAAAAAGGCAAAAAAAAAATGTAAAGATACCACTATGGCTGCAATATCTAATTACAATTGTCCCTTGACACCTAAATCATTTGAGAGAGAGAGAATAAAAGTAGTAGATCAAGCTCCACATCTCACGGATACCAACCATTTACAGTCACTCCTCCATCAACACAAATGACTTGGCCAGTAATATATGATGCAGCTGGCATGCAAAGGAATGCAACTAGACCTGCAACTTCTTCAGGCTCCCCTATCCGCCGCATCAGGGTTCATGCAACGACCGACTCTAATTTCTCCCTGTTGTGAGTAACTGTGAAGAAAGAAGATGAATGATTCATAAACTAACTGTGAAGAAAGAAGATGAATGATTCATAACTGATTTATTCGCCCATGATAATTATTACTTCTATGGCTACTTGAAAGTTCAAAAGTGCATACTTTTTTTACAAGTTGTGTCCTCACAAACCAAGGCGATACACTGTTGGTACAGATGTTGTCCTTTGCCCAATCACAAGCTAGGTTTTTAGTAATTTGATTCAATGCACCTGCAGAAACGTGTAAATAAACAAAAAAAATCCATATGCATGCTTACTGAAAGCCTATTAAGGTGAACATAGTTTTGTAATCCCACTTGGTCCCAAAAAAATTCCCAGAACACCAGAGAAAGAACATGTTCTTCTATTTCCAAAGGGACTTATTTTATATGTTCTTCTATTTCCAAAGGGACCTATTTGATATGACTATAGTTGCTTAAGAGTACAATGTTTCAAGATTGCCCATAAGAATAAGAGAGAGAGCAATTAAAAACAAAAGCTAGATTTCAAAAGAATTGAAGCTTTAAGTTACCTTTACTTGCTGCATATGGAGTACCCACATCTACACCA